TGGGTTTAGGGAAGAGGTCAGTGGCCTTTATATCTGTGAACTTAAAATTGAATCCTAAACCTCTTTAACTTCAGTGCACTGTCCCAGGCTTAGGACTCCTTCTGATCCATAGCCAACGGTCACCATTACCTCATTCGGGTAACTACATTTCCACCCTCTTCTGCCCTACTGACTCACTGTACCCTTGTCTCCAAACTCAGAACTTCTTTGCTCCTGCCTCAACGGGGGAAAGGGGGGGGTCAAAGGACTTAGAAACTAGTATAGATCTTTCTGAAGGCCCATGACAATTTGAAGCAATAACCAGAATCCCATTCCGAAGGATGTAACCTTAGGAAGCAACACAGCCATGTTATCTACAACATTAGTTCATTGAAAATAACCTAAGTGCCCCAAAACAGAGCAGGATTAAATTTCTACAAGTTAAATTCCTAGAACTATTTCCCTAGATGTTTGACAAAGGTGGAATGTCAGCTATGTTATAGGCAACACTGTTTATATAGTAAATGTGTAGACTGGGACATTTTCAAAGTGGACATGTTCCTGGGGAATTTTGGGGCTTCCAGATCAGGATGGCTCCCACATCCATCAGTGTGGACTCATTCCCTCACACCTTCACTCTAGGACTACTGTGAAGATTCCTGCAGATATTCCCCTTCTGTGTTTCCTTTTAAATTGGCCTTTTTCCAAGTATGGCCAACTAAGGTCACAGGAGTTTGTCTAGACCAAGGATTGGCAACTATTTTGTAAAGGGCTAGAGAGTAAATATTTTAGGTTTTATGCCCCATATGGTTTCTGCTGCAACTATTCAACTCTGTTGTTTCAATGCAAAACCAGCCATAGACAGTAAGTAAATGAATGTGCATGATTATGTTAAAATCAGTAGAATCTGAGTTTAGGGGCTGGGACATGGCTCAAGTGGTAGAGTACTTGCCTAGCAAGCACAAAGCCTCGGGTTCAAACTCTCTGAGAGAGGATTTTGAGTTCCAGGCCTAAAACAAACAAAAAAATCCTTGTTTTGAAAGAAGAAAAAAAAAATCATACCCTTTATTTTTATAAAAACAAGTGATGGGCTGATTTGGCCCAAAGGGTGTAGTTTGCCAATTCCTGATCTAGTTAGAATACAAAGTCTCTCAGGCAGACTAGTATACACAGATGAGAAAAAAACTGCTGTTAGGGTGTTAGAATTATATGTAATTGGTTATAATCATTATTGTGCTTTACTTTTCTTATACTTTTCCACTGAAATGCAAACTTTTGGAAAATAAAGCAATGATCTGGACTGTGGCTCTTTTAGATATCCAGACATTCTTTGCTTTCTGCCAGCACAAAGTACAGAAGGCTTACCATCTTTCATCCTGCTGAAGCCTCCTACCCTGCTATCCAGGGTTAATATCCAGGGCTTGGGACAAGAAGAAAGGTACATATCACCAGCATTCCTCCCCAAACACCAGAAAAAAGAAAGCAAAGGGTACTCACTTGAATAATAAGTTAAGACCAAAGAGGGTAAACATGACAGCCATGTAGCCAACAATGCCAGTGGCATAGCTGATTTTATAGATCAGCAGGAACCATTTATAAACCAACCTGGAGAAAGGAAATAAAAAGTTAGTATAGCCGACACAGAGATGCAGCCTCAGGGGTCAATGACCCACCAGAATTCCTTATTCTCACATCCATGGGAACATCAGACTCAATGCTCAGTTCTGGACAGGCACTGTCCAAAGCTGTTCACTTCCTCAATTTTAGAAACACTTCCCTAACACCTCCAAGAAACTAATGCTTTATATTTCCCTAGTACTGGACCAAGAAAAGATCCCTAAAAACAAGTTTCAAATGAATAAAAGGGCACAGCTGACTGAGACAGCTAAGTCTTCCTAAATTCAGGTTAGTTCAGAAGAAGGGTAGTTGTTCTTATCAGGAAACAGAATTTAAGGGAAGATGAATCAGAGGTAGAATTAACTACAGGTTTTTGTACCTAAGCCTGGGTAGTCTGAGTATAGCTTTGCTCCTATCCACAGGTCAATAATAAAAGGACTATCTCATAAATTTGTTTCTGAAATGACTTTTTTCTCTGGAAAAGAAATAAGGAGGGAGGAACTCAGAAAGAAACCTCTGAATTAGATATATGTGTATTGTGCGGTTGAGGGGTGGAGTGAGGTTGTTCATGCCTCTGAGGTGTAAGCAGTGTGCCTCAGAACCCAGAGAAGAGCAGTGTGGAATCTGGGTGGCTGTCTCTAGGTAGAATCAGGGAGGAAAGATGGTTCCCTGGATGAACCAGAGCCTTTTAAATGCTTCAGGGGCAGGTCTTTGGTAATAGAAACCACTATTCTCTCTGGTGATGACAGCTAATGAGCAATTCAGCAATTTGTTTGAATAACCAGCACAAGCTGACTTGGGTCACTGCCAACCTGCAGGGCCCTGGGAGGAAGTTCAAGGTCCCACCCTGCCTGTGACTCCCTGCTGTGGCTAAGCCAGCAGTAATGGCATCTCAGGCTAGGCAGAGGCCTCAACCATCTTTTAGGTTGTGCTCAAAGACCACACATAGCTATTTTATCCAGAGGAATATATCCAGGGGAAGAGAAAGACACAGTAGAAAGGACATGAAATTTTAGGTTCCTCAATCCTTAATTTGTAGTTAACTTGGAGTAAGTGAGGCTTTATTTGCTAAGTAACCTCAGGTAATCACATCACAGGACGAGTTTACTTTTTTGTAAAATGGGAAAACTACCCTATCTTTCTCACTGCCTTGTAACTAACTAGTATATGCTCATTAAATGCTGAATGAATAAATGAGGACACTTATGAAAGTGCTTTGAAACTGTAACGTATTTCAAATGTTACTATAATTTTTAAAAACTTACATTATTGACACTTTTTTTTTATCATTTTATCTAGAAGTTGTTATTGTTTGTCATTCAACAACTTTTTTTTAAGCTAGAGTCTATGTAGCCCAGGCTGGTCTTGAACTCACTATATAGCCCAATTGTCCTGCCTCTGCCTCCTGAGTGCTGGAATTACAGGCATGAACCACTACACTTAGCACTTGGTAACTCTTACATGTTTTATTGTACTTTTTTCTTTTTGGTGGCGGTATTGGAATTTGAATTCAGGGCCACACACTTGCTAAGCACCGCTTAAGCCACTCAGCAAGCCCTTTTTTGTGTTAGGTATTTTCAGCATAGGATCTTACTATTTGCCTCGGGCTGGTTTCAAACCACAGTTCTGATGTCTGCCTCCTGCATAGCTAGGATTACAGGAGTAAGCTACCAGCACCTGGTTGCACTTTTTTCTTTATATCACTCCATGTGAGGTAGCATTATCCCATTTTCAGGGATAAAAAATTCAAGGCTCAGAAAGCTGAGATCATAGTGCTAACAATAACAGGGCTGGTCATTCCAATCCATTCCAATCCACATCCAATTGGTTCCAGAGCCTGTATCCTCTATAATGTCTCCAGAGAGGCACTTCTGAATCACCAACTTCACTTTGTACAATGAAACACAGAAGGACAGAGAAAGACTTGCAGTAAAGGGGAACATAGGAAGCATGAGAAGAGAGGAATCTATAACTTGGAAGACTTTGGATCAGTGGTCCCAACTCTGAAGCTAGCCAGTTCCCCTGCTTGGCTCTCCTGGACCTGTGCACACCTCTCCTGGGACTTACCAACTGCACTGCAACAGGTGCTTTCTTGTCCATCTCCTCCATTAAACCGAACACTCCTTGAGGACAGGGACCATGTCTTATCCAGTCTGTATCCCAGCGCTCAGCACAGGGCCTGGCACATAGCAGGTGCTTGTTGAATGAATGAATGAGAAAAATCTCTTCTTCTGTTAAGTACAGATATTAAATGACCTCACAAGCTGGTTGGGAGGATTAAGTGAGAAATGCATTTGGATAAAATACAAAGAATTTTAAAGGTGGCAGCTCTTTTGTCGTCTAACAAGTACTATTTATAGGAAAATTGCAAATTTGCTGAGATTCATTCATTCAACAAAAATTCAGAGTAGGTTACTATGTGCCAGACCCTGTGGCAGGGCCTGGATATACAGTGACCAGCAAAATGGATGTGGTTCCTGATCTCATAGTTATAGTTTAGTGGGGGAGACAGATATTTAAAATAATATTTTTGTTATAAATTGTGGTAAGTTGTATGATGGAAAACTACAGGGTCTTGTGAGAGAATATAATGGAAAAATCTTATTTAGAGATCAGAGAAGTGTTCACAGAAGAAAATAACATTAAAAATGAGACTACAATGATCACCAGGATTTGCTTATTTATTTTGTTTGCTTTTAATATAAATACTTTGATATAAACAATAAAGTGAGCTTTGGGAAAACATCTGGGAGTTTTAAATCTGTGAATAGGGGAGTGGGTCTCCCAATCAGCTTGTTTTAGAGAGGCCCCACGCCAAATAATCTTGGCAGATGAAAATTGCAATTCTCTCAGTCTAACTAAACCCACTGTCCTCCCATGCATTCTATCACACTAGCTTCAAGAAACGCAGACTCTTTAAACCACTACCTAAACTCTCACCTTGGGGTTGTCTGTACTAGAGGTTTTCGTGTGGCTCGGAAGGTGACAAAGGCTGTGACAACAGAGAAGAAGATCCAGATCACCAGGAACCTCCACCAGTGTAGCTTCACTGTGAAATAGAGGGGAACAACCCACATCTGAAAGAGGGTTACCATCTGAAAGAGAAACACAAGCACTTCAGCTCTAGCCAGCAATCTCTGCAGCTCTACCCACAATTCTACAATGCTTCTTGTTTCTTTAGTCTGATTCTCTCCTACATTTCCAATTTTGAATAAAGGTAACTCCATTAGTGATCAAAGTTAGAAACCTGAAACCAGGCCTGACTCCTCCCTTTGATCCCTCATTCATCTGTCTCTTGGCTATCTTTCCTTTCCATGTGATCTCTAGTAAGGCTTATCTGGCTGGCTGCAACAAGTTCTTTGTTAGTTTCCCTGCATCCAAGGACAGACTGGAAGGAGAACATCTGTGGTAGGGCCCTCCTCCTCTTATTCCCTAATGTCTTTAAGTTAAGTTGTCCCTCTTGAGCTAAAATATGCTTCCTGCCTCTATTTCTGCATGGTAACATTACATCCAAGACACATTGAAGCCTACAGTGTCCTTTTTAGTCAGAATTAGTCATGACTTCCTATGCCCCCAAAGCATTTTTTCTACCATCATTTTTGTGCTTATCTAGAATATGAGGCCGACTTTAAGTTCATTCACAGGTGGTGACTAGGCTACATTTTCCTTTGTGAAAAAGAACAGGAATTCCTGGTCTCCTTAAAGTTTTTAAAAAACTGGGCTGTTGCATAAAAACAACCAGCCTACTCCATAGCCTTTCCTACTCCCCATTAATCATCCATAGCATATTTTGAAAGGGATCTGTAGTCAAGATTTTTTTTCTTTTTGCATTACTGGAATTTGAACTCAAGGCCTTGTGCTTGCTAGGCAGGTGCTCTACCACTTAAGCCATACTCCCAAGCCCAAGATAGTTTTTTCTACATGAGGTGCAGCTTTGTACAATTTGGGTGAGTTAAGAGAGGCAAAAAACCTGGATTCTATTCTGACTTAGACAAAGATATAATAAGGGGTAAGCCTGGGTATCAGTGTAAAAGGATGAAAAATCTTGCCTTGTTTTATAACTTTCAGGCTTGAAACTTTAGGGTGAAAAAGCTATTCAAACAAGAAAGAGGGAGAGTAGAACAGAGGGACAAAAAGGGAGAAAAGAAAAGAAGACTTTTGAGACAGGACTAGGCTCTTTGAAACCACATAGCTCAGTGGAAATTCAGCAGACCTGGGTTCTGGGTTCTACTTCTAGTTTACCTCCAACTCACTGAGTCAAGATCCTTCCCCCTTGAAGAAGAGTTTGGCTTGATTTCTGAAACCCCTCTTCTAACAAGCTAAGCAATTCTCAGGCTTTCTGGGAGAGTAGAGGCATATTTAGTGGCATTTTGCTTAGTAAGTAAGTTTAAAATTCATTAAGGAAGGCATTTTTAATGACCAGTTTGGCAATGGCAGGAACTCTGGTGCCATCTGGTGACGATGTTGTGTAGAAAAACTTGATTCAACTTCTGCCAGATGTTGTGGAAGCACAAAATAAGGAAAAGCCCTGGCCTTACCATCGCTTCCAGAACTTAAATGATGAAACATAAACACATGAGTTACACAGCTATGCAAAGAATCAAGTACTGACCCAGGAGTTCAGAGGAAACATGTGGCAGTGTGAACAAGAGCTATTTAGGAAGATTTTCTGCCAGAGGTAGAGCTCTGGATGGTTCTGAAGGAGACTTGGGATTTGGCCAAGGTAGAGAGGACACATAAAAACCATTCCCGCCTTATTTCCTGAAGATGTTTCCAAGATAGTTGCTGAAACAATGAATAGCTACCTTTTTGGTGACATTCTTGGTGTGTCATTTTATGCCACTAGAAAAAGTGCACGAAGAACTTTTTTAGATAGCAGCATTTTTTGTCTCGTGTAACCCCTCATATCCAGCAGTGAAACGCTATAATCAGAATTGGGATTTTGTACAAAAGTTATGGATGGAAGTGCGATTTAAATGTAAGGAAAAGTTGCTAAGGAAGAGGATAGTTGCAAGAGGAATTGATTATAGTTTTCTTTTGCTGGTTTTATGTAATAAAAGAAATGCATACATTTTCACCAATAATGTTAAATTAGTTGTTGGTAGACTAGCATGGATTTGATCACTACCATTTTGAGTCATTATCATTAATATGGAATTGTAATAAACTTTTTCTATAATTTGTATACAAGTAGGATGTAAGAGCTTTGAGGAAAAATAACAAATTTCTTCCTTCTCACCACCTGTTTAAGCTTCTGGTGTCCTTGAAGTGTGCTTTTGTATTAAAGTAACCCACACTCATTAAATATACCCATTGCTATCATTAAAAAAAAGAACTAAAGTCTACTGAGGAGAAACAAACAATTGACTAAAATTGAGCATAAGTTCTATAACGGACTGAGCACTGGAGGCCTAGAAAGTACAGAGGAGAGGCACTTTACTCAAAGTGGAGGAACAAAGAAAAGCTTCATGAAAGAGGCATCCCCTCCTCTCTGTCTTGATGGCCTTGTAGGTCCAGGTGCATAAAAGATCATGATGAATATTCTAGGATGAGGGCGCATGGCATGCTGGAGGAAGTACAACCAGTCTTTGAAAGAGAGAGAGATGAGAAATGAGCCTAAAGAGGTAGACGAGGCTAAAAGGAGGCTCTTATGTATAGCACAGCTAGCAGTTTTTACTGTATTCTCAGGACAAAGGCTTTGCTTTTCTCATAGAAAGTATATTGAAGACCTCTACCATTTAGTCAGCATTCTCTAGCCACATCCTAGTAACCTTCTTAATGTCTTGGTCTGAGGAGAAATTTGTAGTACTTAAAAAATTTCAGGGTTGCTGGTGGAGCGGCCCAGATGGTAACACGCCTGCCTAGCAAGCGTGAGGCCCTGAGTTCAAGCCCCAGTACCGCAAAAAAAAAAAAAAAAAGAAAGAAAAAAAAATTTCAGGGTAAGAGGTTTTGTTGCTCATCCATTTTAGGAAGGAAAAGCAGTCCAGGGGGGTGGGGCTTTGAAAGAAACTATATCTGGCAGCAGACAGGGATGATGAAAAGCTTCTCTTTGGAGACCTTTAAAAATAGAACAGATACTTTTCCAGGCATAAACTTATTCCTTCCCCTAACATCCCTGAGGGAACTAGGGAGTAAGTAATAGTAGACTCTGCCTAGATGATAAAAACTCTTTTGTCTCCCTAGCTGCCTCCCTGTAATCATTCTCTGAGTTTATAAAGGAACTCTGGAAAGGCTAGTAAGGTCAGACAATGAAAATAAAGCAGGATTATGAAAGTACTTGAGATCCAAGGACACTTAGAGAAAAGTCATTAAGGAAGGAAACTCAGGATAGCTAAAAACATAAATGACAGGGGCAAAAACAGTTTCCTAAAACTTTTGAGAGAAACCTATGGAAAAACACTTAACCAAGAATGAGATTTGGGTTTGGGGTCCAGATCTCCAATTTAATGATCATGTGCTCCTAGAAAATCACATCAGATTCTGCTCTGTGGTTTACTAATCTGAAAAATGGAGATAAATTATACTTTACAGAGCTTTTCTTATAAAGAAAAGTTTTTCGTGGTTCCCGTCCCCTGCCCTCGTGGACCCACGGCCTTGTGCATGCTAGGTAAGCACAATACCACTGATCTATATCTTCAGTTGGGAAAAGTATTTTTTTAAATTAACATATTTAAACTATAAGCAACTTAAGGTAATATTATTACTGTTGCTGGAACTGAAAAGAACAGTATTGAAATTTAGATATAGAAAACAGTAGGATCTCTTGCTCCAGTGAACATTTTAGACTTAACTTTCTCTTCTTCTAATGAAAGATTAGACTTGAATTCCTAAGTTACAGAATTCAGTAGGCAGGTACCTCTGTTCATAATCAGTCTCAAAACTGACACCATCCACATTACTCTAGGTTCTAGATCCTAGAACAGGGCTTCTCATCAGGGATAGTTTTGTTCCCCAGGAGTAATATGGCAATATCTGGAGATACAGTTGGTCACAACTAGGAGAAAAGCGCTACTAGTATCTAGGAGGTAGAGGCCAGGGATGCAGTTAAACATTCTATGATATACAAAACAACCTTACCCCCTCTCTTCCCTAAAATGCCAACGTCTCCCTTTTAAGAAACCCTGGTATAGGAGAACAGAACCAGTGTTTTTCCACAAGGTGGTCACGTGTACCCACTGACAGCTTGGGCCGCCAACCTGCATTTTATACAGTATGAGAGCAATACTGGTCTTATGAATTAATCCCATCATGTCTTGGAATGGCTAACCTCAAACAGTCATGTTTCTGCTACTCAACAACAATCTCGGTGCCTTGCCATTACACAGCATTCTCTGGGGAGTTGTTTTGATTCTTTTATTCTCTTTCTTCATCCTAAGGACATTACAATGTGCTTAATATGTGAACTTTTGCTTGTACCTGTTCATACAAAATGTTTCTATGAATGTATTTTTAATGTCCTTTTTGTTGCTGTTGTTGTTGTTGGTTGTGGTGGTGGTGGGACTGAGGTTTGAACTCAGGGTTTCACACTGCAAAGCACATGCTGTACCACCTGAACCAAAACTTCCAGTCCATTTTGTTCTGGTTATCTTGGAGACAGGGGTCTCATGAACTATTTGCCCAGGCTGGCCTCAAACTGTGGTCCTCCTGATCCCAGCCTTCCAGGTAGCTAGGATTGCAGGTGCAAGCAACTGATGCCAGACTTATTTTTAATTTCTTAATTAGCACTGTGCTATGTGTCTTTCTGCTTCTTACTTTTTCTACTCAGTATTATGGTTTTAGGGTCCGCCCAAGTTGCTAGAGGTACATCTAATGTGTTGCTTTTAACTGCAACAGTTTCAAAACATACATCTACCACATTTTACCTATTTATTCTCAGAGATAGGTATCCAGAATGCCTCCAACTCCTCATTTGAGTTACTGCCAAAGTAATACTTAAATGAACATCCTCATATGTCCCTTTGTATCACAGTGCTGTGCTGCTATCCGCAATGCCTGCACCAGTTTTCATACCCACAGAAGAGTATACCTCTGATCCCTGCTAACACATGGCATTATTCAGGTTTTGTATTATTTTTTACAGTCTAGTAGATGCAAAGAGATATCTTACTGTTTTAATGTTTAATTTCTCTACTAATGACTCTGAGCATCTCTTCTTATGTTCAAAGGCCTTTTTGGTCTCTTTGCCTGCGAACTGTTTATATGCTTTGTCCATTTTCCTATGTCTGTTCATTTCTAAA